TCGAGTCGAGTCAAACAATCACGCTGCATTGCACTCCTGCCCATCCATCTACTCCCTTCCCATCCTTGACATTGACCCGACCTTAAAGAGACACGCCTCGCCCACCCTTTTGTCATGGAAATGTCTATATTTCTCCGTACCACTCACAGGCTTTCATCTTGGTTTCATTACCATATCGTCACTTACAAGACTCCATCTGGTTCCCGTCTAATACCTGGGGGATCTTCACTCAAGCCTTCGTCTACATACATATAAGCTACGCACCCCACCTCGGGGACATTCCCATCATCGTCATCATCACACCCAACCAGCTCCATCTACCATCAACCAGCCAAAATGTCGAGCCACAGTGACATGAGCTCGGTCATCTCCTTTGCTCGACAGCCTGCTTCCACCAGGAAGCAGAGCATCGAGGTCAAGATCAACGACCACTACAGCTCCAAGGTCTACACCTCGGGTAACCCCATTTCTGGAGAGGTCACAATCACGCCCAGCCATGACAGCCGATTCGATTTTGTTCAGATCATCCTGATCGGCATCTCGAGGACTCGCCTTGACGCCGTTCAGATTCCTCAGCTTTCTTCTCACACCTTTCTGAAGCTCGAGATGCCCATTCCCGCTTCCGCCTACCCCGTACCCCGGATTTTCGAGGCCGGCAGGGCTTACACCATTCCCTTCAACTTCGTCATTCCCCACCAACTGACGATGAGTGCTTGCACTCACAAGGCTCAGTACGATTACATCCAAGACTACCACATGCGTCTGCCCCCGACCATGGGCGGCTGGGAGAGGGATGACATGGCCCCCGATATGGCCCAGGTCCAGTATGTCATCAAGGCCCGCGTTGTGCGACAGGACGAGCTCGGCGGAAAGCCGATCAAGGTCATGGAGGACACCCACCACATCAAAGTCCTCCCTCGATCCCCCGAGGACCCGCCTCTGAACATCACCAAGCAGGACAAGAACTACGCCCTCAACAAGACAAAGACCATTCGCAAGAACATCTTTTCCTCCAAGCAGGGCACTGTCACAGCCGCAACCGCTCAGCCTGGTGCCGTCTACCTGACTGCCGACGGCCGCGGAGCCTCCGAGGGCTCAGTCTTGGTCAACCTCAACTTTGAGCCTACCTCTGCCGATATCCTGCCTCCCAAGGTCAGCACCGTCTCGGCCAAGATCCAAGCTCAGACCTGGTATGGCGCAACGCCCATGTCGTCGCTCCCCAACATGGGGAACAGCCAAGAGGCATATGCCATGACCCAGCAGCTCGCATACCAAACCTCCGTTTCCCTCTTCTCCACATCGGTTGACAAGGTTGCTTGGCGCCAGCAACTGGCCTCCACCGCCCGCCGTGATTCCGGATACTCCAGCGATGGCATGCGTGAAGGCAGCCCCTCCGACTCGGACAGCCAGCGTCAGAGCAACAGCCGCCGCTCGAGCAAGGACCGCTCCTCTCCCATCTTTCACAAGGCCGCTCTCCAGATTCCTTTCAAGCTGCCCACAGCCCGAAAGACCTTTATCCCGACCTTCCACGCCTGCCTAATCTCCCGCACCTACACGCTGCAGTTGACCATCGTCGTTGGCGATTCCAAGATCAACTTGAACATCCCTCTGCAAGTCGCCCTCGAGCCGCCCATGCAGCTCGATTCGCTTGACACGGGCCTTCCCACCTTCGAAGCCGTGATGGCACAGCAAGAGGAGGCGGAAGCGGACGCTTTCCTCCAGCCGAGATTGTTGCAGCAACCCGCACCCGAATTCCAGGGTACTTCCGTGCTGCCTAGCTACGGCGATTTGTCTGCAAGGCGAGGCGAGGTCTCCGTTGCTTGAGATTCTTGCAGCTTAAGTCCTTGTTTCCTTGCATTGACGAATTACGACTTATGGGGGGTTTTGAGCACGATATTCCTTTCAGCAATTTCCTTTATTCCCTTGTTTCGATGGCGATGATACCAGTAGAGAATCGAGCTGGTGGGCTACCGGAGTCTTGGATACTAAAATTCGGGACGCTTTGATTTGGAGTTTTTTGTTATTCATTTGAAAAATTTGTCTGTTGGAATTGAAGATACCCAAAGAGCAAGAGGCAAATTGGATAAACACATCAACTTAGTAATAATATGACAAAATCACTCAGATCTGGGCTCCTTTGGAACTTATTTTATACGACCTGATGAGGCCTGCCTAGCACGTACTTTATGGCACTGATTTATGGAGGAAGAAGCTTGTATTCTTCCAAACAAAAGGGCGCGAATCACCCCTAGAAGACCAATAAAATCAATTAGGAGGTTGACAACACCTCAGCGCCGAGGTCCTGGTTTTACTCATATGACTTATATCCGAATAATACCTACCGCACACGGCATGTTTGACACAGACCGTACAATCCATAATCAGCGGCCGAACCCGCCTCCAACCGGAATGCCAAGAGAAGGAGATGGTCCGGGGCAGAGTGGCACCTCCGGAGACGGGACGGGATGATGGGGCGGAAGTGAAGGGGCCCGGACCGGAGGAGCCTGGTACACCTGGCCGGAAGCAGGTGCCCGGTGGAGACGAAAACGGGAGAAAGGTGCCGCCATGCCGTGCCGGACACCCAGAAAGTTCTAGGCCCATTAAGTTGCTTCCATTTTCCCCTGTTGCTTCCAGTATCGAAATTGCGGTGGAGTTTTTGCTGCTATCCCGCTTTTTCCCTGTTTCTTTTGCCCCGGACGCTCAGCATGATTTTCCCAAGAAGCTCGGACTGGAGGGTCACTGGGCAAATGAGGGGGATTTGGGGGTGAGGAAATGTGGGGGTTTGATTATCCGGCATAAGCTGGCATTAGCACAATAACACCAAGCAAACTGCATCACTATCCATGTATGCGAATTCCCCCCGTGACATTGGGAATGGAGAAAGATGACGATATCTGGGCGTTCTTAACACCCGGCCTGTCACTGTCCAACAGCCCACTCTCCCGATGCTGTTTGTTCGAGAGAGGGAGCGATCGTCTACGAGGCAGGTCACAGAAGTGGTTCGTTCGTTTGTTTCTATTGATAGTAACTTGACTAAAGGGAGCGGGAGCCGCGTAAACTGCCCACACTAAATAAGATCGATCGTCTGTTTCCACATGGCATCGTTTCTAGTGCGGTGACTCGCGAGTCGAGGGCTTGCAAAGCTGAGGATGAGGCTCAGGCGCAAGTTCCGAGGTGAGGTAAGCTGTGCACAAATAACCAACCATTCCTCCCTCTTCTTGCGTGAGAATTATTTTTTCTAGCAGGATATCCTATTCTGTAAAACACAAGCAATGCACAAATCACAATGGAACTACACGTGACGACGCGGACACCCCTTTCATCTTTGGCTGCGACCTGCCCCAAAGAGTGAACCCCCCTCGTGTCGGTTGGATTTAGCTTCCCCAACAGCAGATGTTGATTGGTGCGGCGGGACAGCGGGCGGCGGCAGATATAGGGGTTGGGGCGCACTTCTCGCCTGCTCTTTGGAGGGTCTTGGGGGGGTGAACCGTGAGCAACCTATCCGTATGTACATAGGTATCTACCTGCAGAAATGTCTGTGCTACCGCTTGCGTTCATGGGATTGGGCAAAGAGTCTGGGAAAGGAATTTCAAGGTACGCATACGGATGAGTATGGGTGAATTGCGACAAGCCTTCCCGCTCATGTCTTGCGCTTCTCATTGAGAGACATGTTGGTCTTGGCAGGCGCGAGATAGGAACTGAAGCGCGTAGGGAAGCGTGCCTACCTTGCCTTACTTTACATTAGAAGTACAAAGCTACTGATATCCAATGTAAGGCAAGGCAAGTACCATCTGTGAAAGAGAAGAGAGGGGAAGAGAGGCCCCCCCCCCCCCCAAGATGCCGGATGGGGACTACAGCGAGGGATGGATGGCACTCGACGACCGCGATGCTACGCTGGAAGACGGCATCTCAGATTGAGGTTGAATGATTACAAGCAATTTATGAAGTATTCCGGGCCTTTCTCTGATCGATGCTTCACCTCTCAGTGGGCTCCTACTTGTAAAGTGGTCTTGAACCGTGCGCCCATCATCGATCCCCCCATCCCGACCATCCATCCCGATGCTCGCAGCCCATGTGCTCATGCCATGCAATCCCAGTGAATCTCCCATTTCCATTCCCATTCCCATGCTCTGTCCATCTCCTCCCCCCTTGTGAACTGTTCTTATTTCCCGCCGATTCCGTCCCGTCCTCCATCCGCCAGCTGCATCCCGTCAACGTCCTAGCTTTCTTCCAATTGCCTCTTCATCCCCTCTCCTCCCCTCCCCCCCTTCCATCTGGAGGGTGTGTCTTTGTATTCCTCTTGTCCCTCTCCCCCCCGTGCTGCATGCATTGTCTCCCATCACTCAACCTGCCTACTTTCAACAACAACACCTCAACTCGCCCTTCCATCCTCACCCACTCTTCCAAGGTTGGACCCCGTTTCGAAACAAAAACGATAACGGCCGACGGCGGGCTCACTTGCGTCATTTCTCAACAAGACGGGAGAGTTCTAGATTTCGAAGTTTGATACTTGACAATTTACCTTTAGACTTCTTTCCTGGGTACTTGGTACCGATTCCACTCGTTTCCGCCTCAGCTTACCTCACCTCACCTTCTACCACCCCGAATTTCCTCCTCTTGCGATCCTTTGGGGCCGGCACATCTGCGCAGCCCAGTCCGATCCAGTTTTCTTGGATTCCGCCCTCCCACCCATTTGCGGCGGCGGCGTGGCGCGGAGAGAGACACCGTGCAGCCACGGACCCTCGACTGAACCTGAACGCGACCGGACTCGTCTTACCTTGATTGCGTTCCTGACTTGGCCTAATTTTATCCTCAATTGTCCTTCAATTCCCTCCAAGCCGGAAAGGTACCCCGATTAAACCACAACCACCACCGCAGAGGACAGGTCGCCCATCTTATCGGGTCACCTCTTTTACCACTTACACAAACTTCACCGAGACGGTCTATGCGGATTTAATTCGACAACGACGACGAACTCGCAAATACCGAACCTAATTACAATGCGACAGGTGCTCAAGGCCGGCTTGGGGTGCCTCGTCTCCCTGTTGCTTGCCGCACCAGCCGACGCCTTCTACATTCCAGGTTCGCCGCCCTCAGAAAGAAGCCCCCAGCTCATGATCTCAAACACCTCTCTCTCGCTCGAGCAATTGCCCGCTGACTATACCTTGATATTAAACTATAGGCTGGTCGATTAAGAGCTATAAGGACGGCGAGCAGGTACCCTTACTCGTGAACAAGGTCTACTCCGACAACACTCAGCTGCAGTATGCCTACTACGACCTCCCCTTCGTGTGCCCGCCGACGGGCCAGCGCAAGCCCGGCACGGGACTGCTTAGCGGACAAAGCATCCCCCTGAACCTCGGCGAGGTCCTCCGCGGCGACAGGATCAAGACATCCGACATTGACCTGGTCGTCGGACAGGACAAGCCGTGCAACTTGCTGTGCAACCGCGAGATGAGCCGCAAGGACATGCGCCGCGCAAAGGACATGGTACACGATGGCTACGTCACCGAATGGATCGTCGATAATCTCCCCGGTGCCACGAGCTTCGTAACCGTCGACAAAAGCCGCAAGTACTACGCCGCCGGCTTCAAGCTCGGCTTCACGGATTACTCGGCCAGCAGCGGGAAGCCGCGCTACTTCCTCAACAACCACCACACCATTGTCATCCGTTGGCGCAGAGCCCCCGGGAAGGCGGGCGAGCGCGGCGGTAAAGTCGTCGTCGGCTTCGAGGTGTACCCCAAGAGCATCGGACCCAATAACAAGCGCGACGAGAATGGGTGCCCCGCGGATTTGCAGAATATTGACCAGAATTTCGAGCTCTACCTCGCCCCGAATAAGTCCTCCGAGACGCCAAAGCAGCAGCAGAACCTCGATTCCTCCTCATACCACCCCGCTACCGACGATGACGAAGACCTCGCCGACGACGGTGCCAAGCTGACCGTGCCCTATACCTATTCCGTCTACTTCCGCGAGGACAACAATGTCGAGTGGTCGCGCCGCTGGGATCTGTACTTTGTCAATCAGGAGGAGGGCCAAAAGATTCACTGGCTGGCCATTGTGAACTCGCTCATTATCTGCGGTCTGCTCACGGGCATTGTCCTGATGATTCTCGCGAGAACGATCCGCTCCGATATCAAGGGCTACAAGGAGGTGCCCCTCGAGGACGGCAAGCCAAAGCTGAAGCGCAAGAAGACGGCCGGCAACAAATCCCCCCGACTTTCTGAGAAGACCGGCGGACTGCTCGATCAGGGAGCCGGAATTGACGCCGAAAACGACGCCGACGTGTCGTCTGACGAAGAGGCACTCGAGGACGTTACGGGCTGGAAGCTGCTGCACGCCGACGTCTTCCGGACGCCCCGGCACGGCTACCTGCTGGCCCCGCTCGTCGGCTCCGGCATGCAGCTGCTCTTCATGGCGGTTGGTCTCGTTCTGCTAAGCGCCCTCGGCGTCCTTAACCCTAGCTTCCGCGGCGGCTTCATCAGTGTCGGCGTCGGCCTCTTCGTCTTCGCTGGCCTCTTCTCGGGCTACTTCTCAGCGCGCGTCTACAAGACGTTCGACGGCCAGGACTTCCGCAAGAACGCGCTCGTCACCGCCGTCCTCTTCCCCGGCCTCCTCTTTGGCATCGTCTTTATCCTTAACCTATTCGTCTGGGCACAGGCTTCAAGCACGGCAATCCCCTTTGGCACTCTCGTCGCCATCATCTTCCTCTGGCTCTGCATCCAGGTGCCCCTCGTCTACGCCGGCTCCTGGTTCGGCTTCGTCCGCAGCGCCAAATGGGAGCACCCGACCAAGACGAGCGTCGCGCCGCGCCAGGTGCCCCGGCAGGCGTGGTACATCAAGTCGTGGCAGTCTGTCCTGCTCGCGGGGCTGATTCCCTTTGCGGTCATTTTTATTGAGCTGCTGTTCGTGTTCCAGTCCGTCTGGCAGGACAAGAGCGGCTACTACTACGTGTTTGGGTTCCTGGCCGTGGTGTCGGTGATTCTGATTGTGACGATTGCCGAGGTGACGGTCGTGACAATTTACGTTCGGCTGTGCGCCGAGAACTACAACTGGTGGTGGCAGTCGTTCGCCGTCGGCGGTGGGAGCGCCGTGTGGGTGTTCTTGTACTGCGTATGGTACTACTTTTTCAAGTTGCACATTACCGGCTTCGTGAGCAGTATGCTCTTCTTCAGCTACAGCTTCATGGCGTGTTGTGTATACGGTCTCCTGACGGGGACGGTGGGGTTCCTGAGCGCGTACGCGTTTGTTCGGAGGATTTATGGGTAAGCTTTCTTCCTTTCACTCACTCTCCGGATTCTTATGGGGAAAAAGAAGCTGACGTTGTGCGGACAGAGCAATCAAGGCAGACTAAACACCGTGAGGGTTTGTCATCGTCATTTTAATGTTTTATTTTGGACAGCGAGGTTCCCTTAATGTTTTGATTCTCGACACGAACGAGAGAAAGAATGGAACGGAAGGAAAGACGAAACGGTGGGGAAGGCGCTCATTAATTGCATTGCCTGGCGTCGTCAAAACAAGTTTTTGGGGAGTGGGAAATAAAGAAGCCCAATGGGGAGTGCGTTGAGGCTTTGGCTTTGGGGGCGTTTTTATACTGGGTGGTTGAAGTGTGCTCGTTTGTTCATCGGTCTCTCTGCCTATCTCTTTCTCATCCTTGCCTGGGAACCATGGAGCGTGAGAAGGGAGAGAGGGGTCGTTTGAAGACGTTTCTAACGCACATGAAGTACATATCACGAAGACAGATCACCACGGCCAGGAGGCTCAAGTGTGTATTATGTTTGAAAGAACTTGATTAGTTTTTGGGGTAAAGATTGTCAGCGTATAATTAGATTCCCTCTCTACGTATGAGTGCCTTGCGTGTCCGTCTAGTTCCTTGACCTTGAGTTTGTGCCATAAGTGAAAGAGAGAGGCTCCTAGGTTTTGATGAAAGATGTTGCTCGCTCCGGTAGGAACGGACAGCAACTCAAAGTCAGAATCGCAACTGCTGCCTAATCTCGTTTATCCTGCAATAGTGGTTGAGAAGAGAAAACACACGGATAAAACGGCGCGGGAAAAAGAACTGGTGAGTGAAAACAAGAAAAGATGCATATGACATGATTGCCATGCCTTGACTCCCCCCTCTCCTCTCAAAGGTCGATAAGCTTTCTCTTGAAGGTGCCGGTCATGATCCAATGAGACGTGTGGTGAGGGGGGAACCTGGACCTGCCGTTTTGAGCGACGAGATGCCGGTGGTGTCAGGCAGGCTGACGGGCCCCGAGAAGGGGGGGGGGGGTCCAACGGTGTAGGGGGTGGTGTATTTGATGCGGCAGCCGCTATGTTGCTGCGTTTTGATGTTGGGATCTATGGAGAGGAGGTGATTTCATGTCCATGGCTGCATTTTGATGATTGCATGTTGTAGGATGATTAATTATGTTGCTATGTACTTTGCGAGATGAATTGATAAAAAAGGCCATATTAAACAGAGCAGAGACAGGCTTCATGCGATGCAGTCGGTGACGTTTCTAAATCTTTCTGGTGAATCACAATGCCCCGAGACGATTCGTTTCAAGCAAGTGGGATAATCTGGCCATGATCCTCCCTGTGTGAAGTCGAGAAGGGTTGGTTCCTTGAAATGCCAAGCTTTCTTACACGGGACGGGAACTAGATGGGCGGGATGCGACGGGGGGTGCCCGCCCATATTATTATCCTTGGGACCGCATGGGCATGAAACTTGGAATACGTCTTGAACGAAATTCTCTTTGGGGAATTGAAGTCCGTAAGCGCTCTTATCAGGAAGGCCACTTTAGGATACCTAGGTAATTTGGTCTTCGTATCTACTAAAGGAACTTTGGTACGTTGAAGTTTGGGACTTTGGTTTAAATTCGACCTCACAGACGGGAGTGGCGTCAGTGGGATGGCTTGCTGGGCTTGCCTGCTTCGGCCGGCAACCCCATTCCGCATCCGCTCCCGACGTTTGGAAGAGGTCAGATTTATGGCCCCACTTTCCGGTCCCGAGACCGGCAAAGTTGTCCGAGAGCTCTGTTGTTGGGAACTTGATTCTTGTGCATCTTGCAAAAGTGCAGCCTTGTGAAAAGGCAATGCACTGGAGAGAGAACCTTTTGAAGGGTATTAAGCTGACAATGACGATCAGTCGGGCTAGGCTTTGGTATTCAGTACATTACCTGATAAATGTGTCAATCCAAGGGCGGCATGCAAAAACCCATGTCGGGTTGGATTGCAACACTCTGGATGCCGCTTTCGCAACCGGTGACCCTGCCCCCCATCTTATTAGCTGCTAGCATTCTTTGCCAGTCCTGCAGTCCAGTCATCATTCCCGCATTCTCAGCAATCGGCCCCTCCCCGTCACAAACCACACAACCCCGGAAGGATGGACGAAACGAACATTTGAGCAATGAGGATGAACGCATCCCGACTAGGCTCTGGCTGCCTAGCTGGGGTACCCCCCCCCCAGCGGAAGGCCTTCATTGACCGTTTCCCATTTGCTCTAGAGCTGGTGCACAGCCTAGAAGACCAGGGATCCCCCTGTCTCGCCGTATCTTGTCGACCTTTTCTTACGAGTACAACGTCTCGGGATTCTCTTTCGTTCTTCTTACGTTGAATACCTTCTTGACATGTTTTGATATATTTCTGCCCCCTCCGCTCTTTTTCTGTAGACCTTCTTGGTCTTGGCTTGCATACTGCCTCACTCCCCAGAAGGGGCACTAATCCTCCAGCGAATTGCAATCCTTCGTTTCAACGTCGTTCTCGCTCATGACACGCGGTGTTCATAGAAGTAGTCAAGCATCCCACATCGAGAGAAGCGCCAACGGAGAAGAGGCCGTGGTGTCGACAACACCTCTCTCGCTGCGCTGACCCTGACGATGATGGATCTCATACCTCGGAGAGTCTTTGCGCTCGCGGCTGAGGCGCGATTGCGATCCCAGGCTTCGCTGGCGACTGCGCAGAGGTGAGTTCTATACAGAATGCTTGACCGCTACATGGCCATGGGAAGGGGAATCGTTCCGGGTTTAGATATGGGATGCAAAGACTGCTACCAGATGGTCTTATGGGACTTATTCCTCCGGGCTTGGTTCAAAAATCTAGTGAATCTATGGCATCAAGTGCTTTCTGCACATTTCTTCTGTGAGGGCGCGTGAGAGCGTGTGGTGGAGGATTCCAGTCTCTCATCCATTGCCCCTACGTATCTGATTAGACGTTGAAAAGGAACGTTACTGACGAACCTCAAATAGCCATGCAGAACTACCCTGGATCAACGACGTGACCCAAACCGCCGACTCAGGGTATCCTCAAGCCCTCGTCCTCGTCATCTCTGCGCTCTGGACTGCTTCACGCCTCATCCGTCGCCGCAACAAGCCCTCATCACCACCTCAAACCACCACAACCACCACTGTCCGCGCCGCTAGCATCAGATGGCCCTGGGAACTCCTCGCCCAGCTCGTTCGTGCTTCCGCACTAGCCTTCCTCGCCCTCGCGGCCGCCCGCGGACAGACTCCCTGGCTCAACGCCCTCGTCGCCGCCTACGCCCTCGTCCTAGGCCTCTCAAGGCTCGTCAACGATCTCGAGTGGCGGCACGTCGCCCTGCACCAGGTCAACTTCGCCCTTGGTCTCGAGCTCCTCGTCTTCGCCGCCTCCTCCGCTCTGCCCTGCATCGAAGTCTCGTCTGAGTGCGCCCTCGCGGCGGCGCCGGTGAAGGGCGGCCTCGCGAGCTTGGCGGCCGCCGTAGTCCTCTCCGTCATCACGCCCAGGGAATGGGTCCCCCCCTCGCTTGTAAACGACGTGCCAATGCCCGAGGACTACGAGAAGCGCGGGCCCGCGCCCGAGGAGACGTGCAGCTGGGCAAACTACTACCTCACGTTCGAGTGGCTCACCCCCGTCATGTGGAAGGGCGCCCGCACCGGCGAGGTCGTCCTTGAGGACCTGCCCCAGCTGCCCTGGTACGACGAGCCGCTGCTGCTCCTCGCGCGGATCAAGAAGGCGAGGGCTAGGGGTGTCACGACGACGTGGACGCTCTTTTACCTGCTGCGCAAGGAGGTCAACCTCATGGCCTTTTACATCTCCTCGGCCTACGCATCGGAGCTCGTCGCCCCCTACGGCCTGTACCACCTCCTGGGCTACCTCGCGGACCCCCAGGGCGCCTCCGTCAAGCCTTGGCTCTGGCTGGTGCTCATGTTCTGCGGCCCGCTGTCGCGCTCTGTTCTGTTCCAGCAGTACGTCTTCACGTCGACCCGTCTGGTCGTCCGTCTGCGGTCCGCCCTGACGCAGGAGCTGTACCACCGAGCCATGGGGTCCATGGAGCTCGAGGAGGACATTTTCGCGCCCAAGCCCGATGGCGCCGGGGACAAGAATACCAAGGACAAGGATAAGAAGAAGAACAAGAAGGATGAGGAGGCCGGGCGATCTACGACGTCGGCCGGTCGCCTGGCGAACCTCATGGCGGCTGACGTGCAGGCCATCTTTGGCGCGCGCGACGTCGTCATGGCCGGGACTGGCGTGCCCGTGGGCACCATTCTCTCGGTCGTCGGTCTTTACAGGATGCTCGGCTGGCCCGCCCTCGTGGGCACGCTGATCCTCCTCCTCGCCGCGCCCGTGTCCGTCACCATCTCGCGGCTCATGGGCCGGTTGACGCGGAAAGCTCGGCGCGCACAGGACGCCCGCATCTCGCTCGTCTCTGAATACCTCGCCTCCATCCGCGCCGTCAAGTACTTTGCGTGGGAGGACGCCATCATAGAGACCATCGAGGACGCGCGCGCCAGCGAGCAGCGCGACCTCTGGCGCGTGTCGCTGTCGTTCGTCATGCTCAACCAGATCAGCGCCCTCGTGCCCTACATCTCCATGATTACAATGTTCTCCCTCTACGTCGGCGTCTGCGGGCAGCCCATGACGGCCGCCACGGCCTTCACTACGACGTACCTCGTCAAGCAGATCCGCCGCAACGTCGGCCAGGTCGCCTTCATGTCGCGCCAGATCACCGGCGCCGCCATCGCCATCAGCCGCCTCGACAGGTACTTTGCCACCACGACGCCGCTCGACGAGTACCCCGAGGGACCCCTCCGCATCCAGGACGCCACCTTCCGCCGCAACAAGACGGCCTCGTTCCAGCTCAAGGACCTCTCCATCGACTTCGCCCAGGGCGGGCTCAACGTCGTCTCGGGCGTTAGCGGCAGCGGCAAGACGACGCTCCTGCTCGCGATCCTGGGCGAGACGGTCAAGGAGGGCGGTATCATTACGCGGCCCAAGGACGTCGCCTTCGCGTCGCAGACGTCGTGGCTGCAAAACGACACCATCAAGGAGAACATCCTCTTCAACAGCCCCCTCGAGCCGGTCCGCTACGACGCCGTCGTCAATGCCTGCTGT